TTATTTTCAAATAAATAAATATAAATATTATCATAGCTTTTTAATTTTTTTTTTTTTTAAAAAACCAACATCTATTTTGAGATAAAAGGATAATCATGCAAATGTCACGTGTTCTCACACGGCTTTGCAATTGCATTCCCCTGGGCCAGAACTCCAGGACTGAAGCCCAAGTCGCTTCGGGTTGCACTTTATTGTTTGTTGAAAGGAGTTTTTCCGTGTTACCGGGTGCACGGAGATACCTAGTGAGCGGTAGATTTTGACGGTTCAAAACATCATAATATCAATTAGCAAGTATTAGTTAGATTTGTTATTTTCCTTTTCACTTTTCATGGGTTTTTGTTTTTCCTTTGCTAATTTTTATTTTATTAGTATTTAAATATTGATTGAGATTAAGAAAATATGAATATACATTTTAATTAAAATCATGGATTACTTTTTGCCAAAGTTTTTTTTGGTTTTTTTTGTTTTTGATTTGTACCAATATATAGGAGATTTACATTATTTTAATATACATTTATATAGAAGATTTATGCCAACCACGTAGCGACTCAGCAACTGTTAAGTGATGTGGCACGCAAGTCTTGGCTTCGAGCCTCACCATTAACTTTCATCCCATTTTCCCTTTAGTTTGTAGTCGTGATATAATATAATTATCCTTGTTCAAAAAAATATATAAGATTTATATGTTAAAGTTTTTAAAATTTTTTTAATTAGGTGATTAATGGTCATAAACATTTGTCAATCTTTAGTTTTTTTTTTTTTTTGTTTGTTTTGGGTTAGAGTTTTGTTTATTGTTAAGTAAAGAATTTAAAATCAATTTATATATATACGAAGATAAATTTTATAATATAATTACAATTTAGATTTTGAGATTATCAAATTACAATCAATAAAATTTTTCTTCATACTAATTTTTTGGTGGGGGAGGGCTTAGTACTTTTAATGATTGAACTATTCTTTAAATCATCCCTCATTTATATGCAAAATCTTTTTAAAAGAGTTAGGTCATGATAAATTTTGATTAAAATTTAAAGAAAATTAAGAGTGACAAAGTTAAAAAAAAAAAAAAAGAAATGCAAATTTGTCATAGATTAACTAACAAAATAATTCCAAACTTACATTTCGACCCAAAAGACCAGTTAAAAACTAAAACCCAAAAATTTACCAACTCCTAAAGACTCGTAGTCTCTAGTAAGAGTTGAAGTACCAAACCTGAAACCAAACAACAAACATGACATGGATCCATTAAGAGAATTTTTATTCAAAAAATCAAACCAAACGTAAGACTTGTGACACAACATCAAAGGAAAATAACTGGTCTTTTTCTATCCTCAGTTAATTAAAGCTGAAGAATAAAAATCTGAGTGAGACTGTTCACTACTTCTGAGACAAGAAGCATGTCATCAAATTGTTGGTGGAGTGATGCCTTCATCAGGTCAAGCAAGAGCTTCATATCTTCCACTGAAGCAATCATTTGTGCCTTTTCCTCTTTAACATGACTCATCTCCGCCTTGGTAGCAGCAGCTCTGGCTTTCATCCTTTGTAGATTCTTCTTTGAACAAAATAGATGAAACCATACATATCAGTTCGTAATTCATGGAGAGATATCTGTATTAATAATGAAATAAAACGGGATTTGTTGAGAAAATAGTGCAGCTATACATCTATGTACCTTGAGCTTGCGTCTTAATCTCCTATTACTGGTTCCAACCATTATAACTTCTCCTTGTGTCTCTGTATAATACTATATGGGGTGAGATGGATGCTGATATATATTTATGTCATGGAATGGAACATGAATTCAAGAATTACCTGACTGAATTTGCTATTACTTGCCTTATTTCAATTAATGCTTCTATACTACTTTGTGCACACTGAATACCACTTCTGAGTTCTACCAAATTTATAGACTCAAAAGGGCTCTGTGCAAATTAACTATTCGAAATTGTTTTAATCCCCTGGCTCCTGCCACGTGAGAAATCTGACGAAATCTGACATCAGAATGCTCGTCAGATTTCTGAGTTGGCAGGGTGGGGAATAAGAAATTCTTTTATTAGATAAGTTAGGAGAGGGGTGGTGGCTGTCGGTTAGGGGCAATATACACCCCCTCTTAAATCTTAGATTTATCTCAAATAAACACGTTAGCTATTGAATGAAAAACGTCGGTAAACAAACTCTCAAACCTCTTGAGTGTTGCCAATTAACTTTCAAACTCTTTGAAAGATGCAAATCAATCCATGTTAACAGTTCAACTCATATGCTTTTCAAAAAAAAAAAACAGTTCAAATCATAACACTCCAAGTTATATGTTTGTTTTTTTCTTCACTTGGTCTCATTTTTTTTTATAGATGCTGCTATAAATTAAAAGTCTTCTTGAACAATCAAAGTTTCACAAGAATAGTTCATATATCCTAAACATCGCATCAGTCAACGAAAGCAGCAGAAAACCCTAAGAAAAAGCAAATCAACCTACATTATTAATAGCTCAACTCATATGAACCTAATTTATATGGTTTTTTGCGTTCATTTGATCTCACTTTTTCTGCATGGATATTGATATACATCAAAAGACCTCACTACCTTAGTGAGAGTCTTGCCAAAATCAAAATGATTCACGCAGCCTAAACATGGCATTAGTCAACAAACGGCAGCGGAAAACCTTAAGAAAGAGCAATATAAAATTGATCATGGGAAAGCAGCATTGTTTAAATCAATTTTATACTGCTCTTTCTTAAGGTTTTCCACTGCTTTTTGTTGACTGATGCCATGTTTAGGCCATATAAATCATTTTGATTTTGACAAAACTTTCACTACTTAAGTGATCTTTTAATTTATATCAATATCTACGCAGAAAAATGAGACCAAACGAAGGCAAAAAAGCATATAAGCTAAGTTCATATGAAGTGAGCTATTAATAATGTAAGTCGATTTGCATTTTCTTAAGGTTTTCCGCTGCTTTTGTTGACTAATGCCATGCTTAGGCTACATGAATTGTTTTGGGTGGATGTTTCACGGCTAATTTTGGTTCAAAGAATCCCTTGGGGCGTGAAGGCAGTCAGGGTTTTGGATTGACTGTCAACTTCCAAATGATAAATAGGTTTCAAGTTGAAGATATAGCATCTTTCATTGCAAATTTCATTGTATGTATTGTTCATAGACCATTATCAGTGTTGTACCCCAAATTTCATTGTACTTGTTTTTCATTGATAGATATGGGTAAAGTAGACACTTATTTGCTCAGTCCCTGTAGATTGCTTTCATTCTGAATTTTGGTTCATCCATTTTAAAATTTTGAATTTTCCCAATTTTTTGTTCCATCTTTGAGCTTTGTCACTTCAGAATTTTACAGTGACATGATATAACACTCCAGGTATGTTGGACTACCATTTTACTACTTCGCTTGAGACAAAACTGACAAGATTTGGAGAAGGCTATATCTGAAATGACCACCAACACCAAGAATATAAATTGGAAGTGATAAAGAGATTAATTAGTGTTCATTAGTTAGACCTTTAAAAATTTAAGGAAAAAAACAAATAGAGCACCACCAACCAGTCTCATTTTTGCCTAAAAAGTAGGTTATTTTAGTTTTTATTAATAAGAGTTTATTGAAATAATATAATTTTTATGTGTTTTTCCTCTTAATTTTTTAGGTTAAATCCCCATTTTGATCTCTCTAATTTGGTAAAAAACCTTTTTTTAATCTATCTACTTAGAAAATCCCTTTTTTAGTGCCTAAATTTTGAAATCCAATCCCTTTTTAATTATTCCGTTAAGTTTTACATACATACCATGATAAAAATTTCAAAGTAGAGAAATAAAAAAGAAATTAAAAATAACTGCAATTTAATCCCTCTACATTAAAAAAAAAAAAACCATTTTTGGTTTTTTTTATTTTGAAATTTTCATCATTTAACGTCAAAACTTAACGTAAGAACTAAAAAAGCGCAGATTTAAAATTTTAGAAACCAAAAAGAGATTTTTTTAAGTAAATAGACTAAAAAGAGACTTTTTGCAAAAATAGAGGGACCAAATTAGGGTTTTAACCAATTTTTCATAGGTTGATGAACATTTTCCCCAGTGGTAAAAACATTTGTAGAACCAAAAATTTTCATGGCAAATTGAATATAGGAAAAAGTTGGTCACCCAACAACAAAAGTCCTATTATCAATAGTTTACCAGTGGTTTGAGGGCAAGTTAAGATTGTGAAAAATCCCAAATTTGAATCTCCCAACATCCTATCTTGTACCCACATATTCAATTCATATGCGTGCTGTGCACAACAAATCCTTGAGTAAAATTTAACAAGAGATAGAAATGTAACATAAACCAACATAATACACTAAGTATTTATTCAGGCAAACACCTGCACACTGTAAGGGGGAAAGAAACCTTCCCGATTGACCAGCTGAGAAAAAGCTAAACTTTCTGATAGTAATAGTCTCATAGGGGCATTCAACCACCATTAGCATCCAAGGAACACAGAAGCCGCAAGCAGGCAAGACACTTGCTCTAAGTATTTTTGTTGGCAGGTAAGAAACTTAAACAACTCACCCAAATTATGCAGTTTAATCTTCTTCCCAAGATCAAAAACGTCTCAACTTACAAGAGATCATTTCTTCCCAAAAAAAGAGCTTGTTGTGCCACTTGTTTTTCATGAAAGTCATGATCATGTGTTATAAAAACGCAAATGCTGGTTTCCCAATTACACTAGATCTTAGCCTACACCAAAATAAAATGTCTCATTTATCACCAAGAATAAAGGTAAATAATAATTTGCATATATTTGAAAACATACAACATTCATCACAAATAGAGAAGGAAAAAGACTTGCCAGTGTGAATCAACATACAATACTTAATTTAACTATAATAAAATCAAACAAGCATATGAGCGTACGCATTTATATGCACAAATATTTATTCATATCTTTGCTCACTACTTTTATACTTAGCAGCATAGCCCGTACTCAGATAAAACACAGAGCAAATGCAGTTGCACACACTAAAACATAAACTCAAATTTTCACTGAATATTTTCACACCAAAATTGTACAACAGTTAGCACTACAAACTATAAACAGATCAAACACGAGCAAGCGTGTGCACTTGTGTAGTCAAAATATTAATTCAAATCTCTACTGAATACTTACATAACAACTGCCATCTTTCCTCCCCCCAAAGACAAACCATCAAACAAACAGGAACATTTATGATTTAATTGTTAGAGAAGATTTATTTCTCATTTCAAACTTAAATTCAATACAGAAACAGACTGCAGCTCAACGGTTATCGGCTCTCTATTTCCATACTCCACCCAAAATCCATTCACAAAAAGATGCCATGTATGGGTACAACAATGAAAGAATTAACTTCAGGAAAAAAAAAAATAGAAACAACATCATACCCTGTTGTTGATAATCTTCCTCCTAGCCAAGAATCTAGCTATGGGAGGTGTAAGCGCTATGGTTATAGGAACCCGAATTGGAAAAAGCGCCTTGTTGCAGAGTACAGCCAATGCAAGGGCACCACCAGTGGACGCGGCGAGCTCAGCAGTCCGATTCTTCCTGTTCTCCTCCCCCACTACGGTCGTCGATATCTTAGCATCAGGGGTTCCCACCTCTCCCTCCACGAAAGACGCATCTTGCGGGGATTGCACAGGTGGGTTTTTATCTTTGGTAAAGCCAGGGAGTTTCAACTTGTCAAACATAGATTCAACGTCGACATTGTTCTTGATAGCAATGTAGAGGCCGGTGATGGAAGCTGCAGAGACCGAGAAATGTACCCCCAATCCCACTTTCCCGTACTTCTTAACAAATTCCTTGAATCGAGATCCACCGAAAGCAGACATCTTTCTATCTTCAATGAAAGTGTTGATACCGCAATTGATAGAGACGAGGAGAAGGAGGAGGAGGAGGTGGCCGGAGGGGTTTTAGCGGTGGTTTAGGGTTTTGAGGTTCAGTCTGAAACAAACACCAGAGAAGGGGAGAGGAAATGCTGAGGATCGAAACGACACCGTCTGTCACGTAAGCAGTCAAGAGATGGGCCCAACATTACGGGCTCTGACTTGGCCCATTTAAGCTTTCCGAAAAACCCAGCCAGCAGGACTCAAACGCCCATAAGGCCTCGACCCGGGTGAGCATGGGTGGGTATATGTACAGTACAGATGTACTTAAGTTAAACAGGTATAAGATTTTAATGTTCATTATTTACCGGAATATTGAAAATTTATACCCATTACTTAAATTGTTAGATACAAATATACATATATATTTATTAAATTTTACATTGAAAATACATAAGTTAATATACAATTAAAAGTTCATATATATGATATAAGTTTATATATAAAATAAACAATGTGACTATATACATTTACACATATACAAATTTATATATATAATAAAAGTAATACAAAAAAATCCATATAATTTTCTTTTCAGTTGAATCTTCAAGGCTAGAAGAAAAGAAAAAAAGAAAGCATAAATGTTTTAATTTCATAACATTATGTTACAAATTATGCATATAAAACTAAAACATAAATCAAGTATATGAATCAGATATATAGATCGAGTATATTTAATACTTATCTAATATTTAACAGGTATGCATTTTTCATATTCGATATTTAATTATTTTTTTACAAATACAGATTAAATACATATTTAAACAAATCAAGTATATCCATATATAAGATATACCCGTACCCGATACTGGGCCCT